GATCTAGCTGAGAGCCGGGGCTTGGGAGCCCTTGCCGGGGACTTGTCTCCATGGCAACGCCGCGAGGCCGCCCCGGCCCAGCCTCGGTCTCCATGGAAACTCCGTTGGAGTGCTAGGCCGGCAGCGTCCGCTGCGGGGAGAGTGCGCGCGGTTCTTAAAGGCCGGTAGCAGGAGCCGCTCATTGGCTGCTGCCTGTCAGGGGGGCGGAGCACTGGCGCCGCAGGGGCGGGGCTGGGGTGGCGACGCTCCGGGTCTGCGGCTTCCAGGGCCCCGGGTTGGTGGCTGATTCCCAGCACCCCCCCATCCTTTTCCAGAGGGAGCTCCCACTCCGACTTGAGTAGGGGTGGGGGATCTGAGGGACCGGTTGGAGGAGTGAGCCTATTGCCTCAGCGCCAGAAGAAGCTTCTAGTTAAGGTGTTTCCCGGAAAAGTACTTTCTGACAATTCCGCAGTCTCGCCCAAACTGAGGGGAGCCATCTTGTCCCTCTCTGGCTCCGAGTTTGTAGGGCTGTATCCTTCTGTGTTGGTGTGTCTGTGTTATCATTGTCTGGAGCTTTTTTTTTTTTTTTTGGTCATCGCCTGCTAGGGTCCTAGATTCCATCCATCCTCGGTTTTCCTATCCTCATTGCCTCAGGCCCTGGGTGTGGGGTGTGCTCTGAAACACTGTGCAGTATCGGAGGGACGGATTGACCTTCCGGCCCTGAGTCCCTGGGGAGTTGTTATTCCGAAGATAGTGAGTGGTTGGCTAGTCTCCATCTCTGCTGCGTGCAATGAGCTCAGACTGCAGCAAGGGGGGTTTGAGTAAAACCCAGGAAAGACCTTCTCAACTACAAGTAATGTGACACAGTGAGTTGGATAACCTTGGGAGGCAATGGTATTACTTCCTCCAGGGAATTCTCAAAACAGAAGGGGCAATATTTGAATGAACGAAGGGCTTGGCCCTTACAAAAGAAAAAAAAAGAGAATGTGAAAGAGGACTGAGGAGGCTGGCACTGTCTTATGACTGTCTGGAACATCCTTGTAAAAATGGTACCTGCTGTAAGTTTCCCCTCCCCCATTCCTCAGTGTGTCCCCACCACCTAATCCCCACTCCAGCTTCCTTTACCCAGGATACTGAATCATTCTATATATTATGTATCAGATGGAAAGCCTGTCTTTCACCCTAGGGCTCCTGCAGCACTTTTTCGGGTCCCCTTTGCCTTACACTTTCTGGATGGTACAGGGAAGAAAGGAGCACAGTACCTGATTCAGCAAAGCTGCCTCTAAGCCACATTCTGCTCCACCTCCTCTCTGGAGGCCCTGAGGAAGATTGGACAGTGTCTGCATTTTAAGTACCTTACGACAGTCCTGGTTCCTATCACGGAGCATGTATTTAGCAAAACATCCAATCCATTCTGCAATTTGGGTATGGCCCTACCTGCAACTAACAAAATGTTCTCTGTCAATTATATCTCAATTTTTAAAAAATTGAACATGGCCCTGAAAATCCTTTCTGTAGCAGAGAGGGAGAAATAAGAGTGCTGGCAGAACATAAGATGGTGGGGGTGCATCACCCTATATGACACACGGGAAAATGCTCTGCTACACCTCCGCGTCACCGTTTGCAGATCCGAATCTGGCAAAGAACATAGAGAGATAGGCAGGCCTCCTTTTCTGCAATCAGAAGAGTGCCACGTGGAGACAGAGCAAGAATAGGTTGTAGGGAGAGGAAGGGGACAGTTTCCATAGCAACTGTAGAGATGAAGCCTTTAACTGGCACAGGGCCTCAGTATAAGGGTCAGCAGCAGTTAACCATGGGCCCTGCTTTCATCGAGTCTGACACAGAGGTAAGACAATAGATCTGAATGGTATAGGGAAGGACCACACACTGATCAGATGGTAGGGGCAGAACTTCAGGTTTGCTAGGATTGGCTTTTATTAATCAGAACTGCAAATACAGACTATGGTAGTACTAACTGGAAAGTATGGAGTGTAAACATCTACGCTCCAGAATTTTACAACTGAAGACAGAAAACACTGACACACATACATAGAAGGCATAGAACCCTGAATAAAAACTTTAAAGAAATACATTTATATGTGAATTGCGAAGTATATAATGATCTATTTTGTGTTTAGGAGTGGTGTGCTGTGGCAGGAGCCTAGCAGTAAAAGGATGCCATTCCAAGGCCGGTCCAGTTAGGAACCTATGATATACATGATTGTGAGGCATTTACAGCAGTTGGTGGGGATTACAGAGCCCACTGTAGCATTTCATTTAACTGCTGGCCCCCTGAACTGATGAAGTATCATCTTTTGAGAACTCTTCTATTCTGTACACTCTCATCATTCAGCATTGGCTGAAATGGTGGTTACAACCAATGCTTTCCAAACTATTTGTGATGAAAGACCCTTGAATTGTGGAAGGGGTCTCAAGGATCCATCACTGAAAAAGGTTAGAGGAGGTGTAAAAGGAAGACCCTATTATAAGATCTTACCTTGGGTGTGCACTGGCGTGGACAAAAGGCAAAAGATAGTATAGATCTCAAATGGTTTGAAAGGTAATTGTAGCCTTGGCTAAGTTTAAGCCAGTTAAAGGATTCTCTGCCCCCAGATCTTCGTCAGTTCATAGTATAGAGTGATAAATATCCAACAGGTAAATTATTCAGATGTTTAGCAGAGTAAGAGGGGCATCTCTAAAATTTTTGTGAAAATAATTTCATTTTTGGTATTTAAATTATTGAAGTTGTCTTCATGAGAGAATCAGAACTTTATTGGAATGAGTTATGCTCATCATGAGTTACATATGTGTGGGAGAGGAAGGCACCATAAGCCTTTCAATTCTTAGGGTCTCCATTAAAACTTAAGCTAGCTCTGATAATTCATAAGGGAAAAAAAACAAACGCTGGCTCCTCCCTGCTGGCCCAATGAATGTCAATGGTTTTTCTTGGGATCTGAGCTCACTTGGCAGAATTCCAGCCTGCTCTGCTGGATTGCATGGTCTTATCAACCAAAATATCCAAAAGGAGCTGTATGCAGCTCACATTCCCACCTTGTACTCAGTTCTGCCTATAAAGCATTCTTTACACAGAGAGAGGCGTGTTGAATTACAGGATTGCTGTGTCAGAAGCTTATCCTTGGCTTTTGGGGAAGATGCTATGATCATAATGCATACCAGCAGCCAGGGGGTCACCTCTTAGCATGAACAGCTGGTTTATCTGCAGAGGCACTGAGTGAAATAACCTGTACAAGGCACTGAGTAGAATAATCTCTCAAAAGTTTGAGATGGGGGAGAAGTCTGCATTATTCCTATGTCTGGCACATAGAGGAGGCCCACAGTAAACATTTGTTGGATAGTTTTCCTAATTATTATTTGTTCACTAAGTATTGGGAAGAGCAAGAGCACTGGGTTTACCTTCCCTGTGTAGAACATTATAAAGGACAATGAAGAAATTTCCCCTTTTCCCTTCCTGACTCTCTATACCTCTTTTTTTTTTTTTTAAAGAAAGTGATTCCTCAAAGAAACATTTATGAATACTGTTTTCTCTTGTCCATTCCATTAGCCTCCTCGATGGAAGTTAGTGTTTGGCTGTGGCCACTGATACCACCTTTTCCTTTAGTTTGAACAAAGCTACCTATTACTATAGAGGTCTTTAATGATTTTCTTGTGGTGGTTAAGACATGGGGTAAAGAGAATCTAAATGTATAACTTAGTTTTGAGGCCATACCTGTGTATGAATTAAATTTTGCATCATTTTTTCAAGATATTCATAGAATGGAGTTACTTTCCTTCAAGGAATACTAGGCTTGCAGAAATATGGTCCCCTTTACAATATTACAAACTCACAAATACTTTTGCTCTGTCTTCTCAATCAGTTCTTTCTTGAAGATCCTTCATCGGATGCCCTAACTTCCCTTTCTAACAGTACCTCCTGCAAATAACTGGCTTTAGCCTTTTCATCCAGTAAATCTGAGGCACTTGCCTTTCCCTCAGTCATTCTTGTACTTTTTGTTCAGACTGTCTCTTCTTCCTTGAACGCATTGTTACCCTTAATTCTCATCTAGGGATTTACCTTTATGATTAACTTTATTTGTGAAATAAGGTTCCATCTCACTCCACAAAGGATTTAAGGAGTATGCCCTAACTCAAACACAGCTGCTTCTCTGAATTCCTCACTTGCCAACTGTGTGAATTTAGGCAAGTTGTTTATCCTCATTGTGCTTTAGTTTCCTCATCTGTAAAATTATAATAGCATCTCACCTTAAGGGTTGTTTTGAGAATTAAGTGGGACAATCTTTTAAGTATGCTTAAAACAATGCTTAGAATTCATTCTATTTTAGCTATTCACTCAGTAATATTTATTGAGTACTTACTGTGTGCTGGCAAATGAAACACACAAAGATCCCTTTTCTTGTGAAGCTTACATTCTAGTGGGAAAAATAGATAATAAATAATAAGTAGGTGAATTATATAGCATGTCAGCAAGTGATTAGTGCTGTGGTAAAAAAAAATATATATATATATAGTAAGGGTGACTGAGAATGCTGGTGAGGGCGTGTGATAGGGAGGAATGGTGAAGGGGCAGGAAAGTGCAATGTTAAAGGGGCTGGTTAGGGTAGGCCTTATTAAGATGAGACTTGAGCAGACCTGAAGGAATTAAAGGAGTTGCTATTTGGATCTAGTAGAGAATCTTATAGGCAGAGAGGACAGCCAGTACAAAGTCCCTCAGGTAGCAGTAGGCCTGGTACATTCAAGGACTAGCTGGAGCCCACTGTGGCTGGAGCAGAGAAAGCAGAATGAGAGAAGGAGGAATAGGAGATGAGATCAGAGATAAGAGAGGCTAGATCACATAGGGCCTTATAGGCATTGTAAGGACTTTGGTTTTCACTCTGAGTGAAACAGGGAACAAATGCAGGCTATTGAACAGAGGCATGTTATGGTTTGACTTAGATTTTTACAGGATCACTTTGGCTGCTCTATTGAGAACAAACTGTAGAAGTTGTAAGGATTAAAGTGGGAAATTACTCTCATAATGTCCAGTACTGGGCTGTGATCACCCCTGAGGATAAGTACCCCCCAGGACCTTTGATACCTGGGGGTCTGAGGGGCCCTGGTTTAAAAAATAATAATAAAGTGGGAAACCAGTCAGGGAACTTGCAGTAATCTGGGTGAGCAATGTTGTAGCTCAGATCAGAGTGATGTCAGTGGAGATGGTGAGAATTGGTGGGATGCTAGACGCACAATATTTTAAAGGTAGAGCCAATTTGATTTCCTGTCTCTTCAAATGGCGAGCGAGACAAAAAGAGAGTAAATAGTGACTCCAAATATAAACCAAAAACTTTTAGAAAGTTACCTATAGGAGGAGAGAGGAAACAGATTGTAAGGCAGCCAGGGATGGAAGGTAGACTTTTTGGAATTTATCTTATTTTGTAAATTTGATGTTGGAATCATGTTTTACATAAGTATAAAACAAAATTAAATCAAAATGGCCAACCTGACAAATATTTCTAGAATATATTTTTAAAACTCTCCTACAAATCAATAAAAAAAGACAACCCAATTATAAAGTGGACAATTTGAATGGACTTTCACAGAGATGATATACGAATGGCCAACAAGTATCATGAAAAGTGTTTAACATCATTTGTCCTAAGGAAATGCAAATTAAAGTGAGTGTAATATCACTTATCCACAAAATGGCAAAAATAACATCAAATGTTAGCAAAGAGATGGAGCAAATAGGACTCTCATAAACTGCTAATAGTAATGTAAAATGTTATAATTGCTTTATATAAGTATTTGGAAGTGTATTGTAAAACTAAACATCTGCGACCCCAAAATTCCAAACCTGGGCATTTACCCAAGAAAAATGAGCACATATATGTCCACAGAGAGATCTGTGATGGCTGTTCATAGCCAAAACCTGGAAACAACCCAAATGTCCATCAATAGGAGACTGAATAAACTGTGTTACCTTCATGCAATAGAATACTACTCAACTATAAAAAGAAACTACACATACACACAACATAGATGAAAAATAAAAAACATTATGGTGAAACAAAAGAAAACACAAAAGAATACTGTTAGTTAGTCTCCTGAGAAGTAGATGCCAAGATGTGATTAGATGTGCAAGAGATTTATTAGGGGAGTATATTGGTTATCTACTGCCTTGAAACAAACTACTCCAAAATTTAGCAGCTTAAAATAACAAACATTTATTATCTCACATTGTTTCTAAGGATCTGAAATCCAGGAGCAAGTTAGTGAGTAGTTCTGGCTTAGGGTTTCCCCTGAAGTTGCAGTCAAGATGGCACTTGGGTTACAGTAATCTGAAGGTTTGACCAAAGCTGGGTAATCTGCTTGCAAGATGGCTCATTCACATGGCTGTTGGCAAGAAGCCTCAACTCGTCACCATGTAGGTCTCCCCATAGGTCTACTTGAGTATCCTGATGACATGGCAGCTGGCTTCTCCCAGAGCAAGTGAACCAAGAAAGGAAGGAGGGAGATATAATGCCTTTTTAATGACATAATATTGGAAGCCTTATTCTATTTATTAGAAGTAAGTCACTAAGTCTAGGCCACTCTCAAGAGAAAGGAAATTGACTCTACCTTTTGAAGGGTATATCACAGAATTTGTGGATGTATTTTAAACCACCACAGGGAGAGATCAGGGAAATGTAGAGAGAGCCTCAGCCCAAGATACAGCTCTGAAATCTGTGGAAAAAGAGAGGAAAGGAGTGAGGATTGGAAAGGAAGAGTCTTGTCCTACAGCATAGTTTCTCAAAAAGTTTGGCCAGGCAGGTGAAGAGTCTTCAAGTCAAAGGCACCTGTTGGAAGAACCTTTATATCATAGGATTGGGCCTGCCTTTGTAGCCCTGCTGTTCTCTGATATTGGCTGGGATCAGCCTTTGGAAAGTGTGGCTTTGGTGCAAATGTTGGGGTAGATCCAAAGTGGTGGCAGGAGGGGTCATCAACCAAATATGCTCTCTGCAAGCAGATTTCAGTGGTGCATATTCATGGTCACAAGTACATACTGCGTGAATAAATTTACGTGAAATTCTAGAGTGGGTAAAGCTTAATTACAGTGATAGAAGGCAAATAAGTGGTTGGTAGGGGCTGGGGAGGGGATAGGAATTGATTGCAAAAGGCACAAGGGAAATTTCAGGGTGATGAAAATGCTCCATACTTGATTCTGGCAGTGGCTGCACACATATATACAATTGCTGAACTCATCAAACTCCATGCTTAAAGTGTGCACATTTTATTGTACATAAATCATACATAAGTTTACTGAAAAACAGGAGATGCCACGTCACATTAACAATACCAAATGTTAGTGAGGATGTGCAGGACCTGAAACTCTCATATGTTAATGAGAGTATACAATTGTACAACCATTTTGCAAAACTCTTTGGCAGTTTCTTATAAAGTTAAACAAATGCCTATCCTGTGACCCACGAGTTCCACTCCTGGATATCAACCCAAGAGATATGAAGACATACATTCACAAAAAGACTTATTTATGAATGTTCATAGCAAATTTATTTATAATGGTCCAAAACAACCCAAATATCCATCAATAGTTGAATTGATAAACAAATTGTGGAACATATATTCAATAGAAGCTTACTGAGCGATTAAAAAACGAACTCCTGACACATGCAACAACATGGATGATTCTCAAAAGTGTTGTGTTGAGCAAAGGTGGATAAAAAAGTCTACAGACTGTATAATTCCATTTCTATAAAACTGTTGAGCAGACAAAACTAATATATGGTGATGGAAATCAGAATATGGTTGCCATAAAAAACTCTCTGAAGTGATAAAGATGTTTTATATCTTGATTGGTATTTAAGTTTAATAGATGTATACATTTATCAAGACTCATCAAATTATACAACTAAGAATTATGCATTTTGCTGTATTTAAATTTTACCTTAATAAAAAATCAAAATAAGAAAAGCAGTTACTAAAAATAAAAATGAAATAAATTAACCTGTGTATTAAATTGTATAAATAAATAAGAATTATTTCAAATGCCTTAAAAATACAATAGTTTAACTGTGCATTTTATTTTATTTATTTATTTTTAATGGAGGCACTGGGAACTGAACCCAGGACTTTGTGCATGTTAAGCATGCGCTCTATCACTGAGCTATACCCTGCCAACCTAACTGTACATTAAAAAAAATTTTTATTGTGGTAAAATACACATAAAATTGACAATTTTAACTATTTTTAAATGGACAGTTCAGTGATTACTAAATACATTCATAATGTGGTGGAACCATCACCACAATACATCTCCATAACTCTTTTTATCTTATAAAACTGAAACTCTATACTTCTTAAACAATAACTCCCAATTCCGCACTACTCCCCAGTTCCTGGTAAGCACCGTTCTACTTTGTCTCTATGACTTTTAATTTTTTTTTCTGTTTCTATGATTTTGACCACTCTAAATACCTTATATAAATGGAATAATACAGTATTTGTCTTTTCACTCAGCATAAAATCTTCAAGATTCACCCATGTTGTAGCACGTGTCTTACACATTTTTATGGGATATACCCTAAGAAAAAAATTAACTAAAAAAAGTTTATAAGTTTTCCTTAGTTATCTTTTTGGTAGTAATATTGTTTTTTCCCTGAAATTATTGTATCTATATAATAGAATAAAGTAAATAAATAAATTATGTTAATGCTATCAGAAATTAAGATGTTGATTATACTAGAAAGGGATAACATATAAACTCAAGAAAGTTGGATAAAATCCCTGAAATCTTAAAATTTAGTTGGAAAAAGTTAAACAATGATCAATTCAGTAGCAGGAAGCATTCCAACCATCTAAACTATGGTCTTTAAATGCATTTACCACTACATGAACCAACATTTCTTAGGGAAACATCTGATTCTAGGTCTGGGGCAGGAAATAAACAAGATGAACCTGGAACATCTTGTTACACCAGAAAGCAAGGAAGCCATCCAAGACTGCTGGAATCCTGTCAAAAGGACTCTGGAGCTAATGTGAAAGGATGTCCACAGTACAAAGATGGGACAATATGCATTTCAAAATTAATAATTGCAGTGGGTTGAAGCACACCAAATGTGTTAAAACCTGTAGTTCATAGTGACAGTAAAAACAAAAATCTCATAAGTCATCTTTGGAATATGCTGGAAAACCTCATTATTTACAGAGCTATTCTCTATTACATAGAAAACCTCAACTCATTATTTTGAGGACTAGTAAATCAAAGGAAAGAATCAAACATTTATTCTGCCTTTCCTTAGGTAATTAAATCTTTGATGAATTGATTTATTTATAGAAGTCTAGCTAATTAATGGAGATAGTGTGTTAAAATTAGAATATCACTTATTTGCAGCTCCTAGTGAATTAATGCAGCTACTAATAATCAATGACTGCTAAACTATCAAGTAAAAAGGTGGTTAATATTTGAACCTCTTAATCAATTGTAACAAAAATACATTTAACCAGATGTTATATGCCTCCTGATGAGATGGAATAGGAAGTATATGATACCAGCTATGAAGTATTCTTGCCAAAAAAGTACATAAATCTGAACAAGCATACCTATCTGCCTATTTATAAGAAATAAAAGGGAAATACATTAAATGATACCAAGGGATGCAATCAGAAAAATTCACAAAGTTTGAGATTTTACAGAACAGATGACTTGGTTTCATCAACAAATAAATTGCAGGAAGTGAAAAAGAGGAAGAACTTACAGATTAAAGATACCTAAGATAAGTATCATCCAAATGCAGTGTGTAAACCTTGTTTGGAACTGTAAAAACAAAATTGTGAGACATTTGGAGAAATTTAGACACTACGTATTTGATAACTTTAAAAATTACTGTTAATTTTCTTTGTGATACTGATGTTATACTTAAAAGATTCTATGTATTTAACACATACAAATATTTATGGATGAAATGATACCGTGTCTTGGATTTTCTTAGAAATAATCAGTTGTGGGGAAGTGTGTAGTTATATAGATGGGAGGTGGGTGGGTAATAGATGAAACAAGATTGAGTACTTGTTGGTAAGTGTTGAAGTTGGAGGGTAAGTACATGGGTTATTTTTTCCT